GCCTCTGTCCCAGAGCAGGTGTAGGGTGTCCAGTGGGATGCAGGGGGCGCCGCCGGGCAGCTGGGAAGTGGCCTTGACTACAGCCCGCGGCCGCAGTTCCTACGACAGCCAGTAGGTCACAGCAACTCGGAGGGAAGAGGTCAGGAAAGACCTCTGAGTGGTGTCCGAAGGGGGGTGACAATGCCCAGGTGGCGGTGGCCTGCAGCAGACCACCACAGCCTCTCCGCCCCCAGCCTGCCGGGCCAGCCCTGGACCCCTCCGCCCAGCTGCGCCCACGTCCTCAGGCACCTTCTCCTCCGCCGTGGGAGGACCACCCCAAGCTCTGTGAGACCGGCACCCAGGAGCACGCAGCAGGCAATCCACGCCCTCAGGCAGGCCGGGCGCCTCACACGCACTCAGGCCCCCTCCCCCGCGGGTGCTCGCGGTCACCCTCTGCCCCTCTGGCCGCCTAGCTCTGCCCTGGGCTGATGGGAGGGCGCGTACCCCCATCCGAAGCCGTCAGCCACCGGCGCCTGCTCCCATCTCTGGTCCTCTAAGGCTAAGAACACCCAGTGGGGGCAGGATAGGCGGCCACCCTGCCGGACACGAGGCCTCAAGAAATTACCGAGTGAACCCCACCCATCCAGCAGCGGGGCAGCGCTGGTGATCCGTCTTCACCTTCACCAGCCCCCAAAACATCAACACCGCTACTGGAGGGGCCACTGGCTCTGCTGAATCGAGAACACCCCACGCTTCAGCCAGGGAGCGCAGGCACCCGCCACGGACACCAGGGGGAGCCCCAGGGCAGCCAGGCCCAGCAGCTGCAGACGGTCCTGGGCAGCGGCCTCCCTGGGCCCCGCCCACCATCCCAAGGCCACCAGACCAGGCTCCCAGCTGCCCTGACCCAGGGCGTTGCACCCCACTCTGCGAGCACACACAGCCACAGGGTCCTGTTTTATTGCCTTCGCGTGTCCAGGACATCTGACCGGCCCCAGACACAGTAACTTAAGGTGCCGAGCGCAGGTCGGGGCAAGGGGAGGAGGGGCTGGGCCCAGTGGTTAAAAAGTACACCCGTCCCCTCGACAAACGGCCAGAGAGGACAGCTGCCAGGGGGTGGCTAGGGAGGGCGACAGGGAAGGCCAGGGACAGGGGCCCCCCACCCAGCCTCAGAGAGACAGAAAGACAGACACACAGGACACACAGAGAGACGTGGGACATGGAGACAAAGGGAAGGATGGAGCTGAGAAGTAGCAAGATGGACAGAGACACGGGGACACAGAGGGACAGCAGAGCACACACGGGCGGGGCCAGAGCCCTGGAGGCGGGCGCACGGCGGGGTCGGGAGAAAGGCCAGGCGGAGGCACTGAGGCCCCGGAGCCCCTGCCGGGCGGGGCGGGCAGCCGGGCCACCCCGGGGCCCCAGGCCGCTGAGGTCCGAGCTACATGACACAGCACTTCGTTTTGTGCGTGTGCGGCTCTTTGAAACGCAGTCTCTGTCTGGGCCGGTATTTTTCCAGGTACATGAGCTGTTTACTGTTGATGGCTCCACGTCGCTTCCTGCAAAGACAGGACGTGGGTAGGGATCGGGCGGGACCCAGGCTGGGCCACCCGCTCTGCCCCAGGGAGCTAGAGGCCCAAGAGTCCAGTGGGGCCGCAGTGGGTGGGTCCTCATGGCCACCAGAGCCCTTCCTACCTCCGGACTTCTGCCCGAGCTGCTCCCACTGCCAGGATCACCTGTCCTAGTCACCTGCTGTCACCCCTGCTGCCCTTCAATGCACCTGGCTACCGCCTCCTCCAGGCTGGCTCCCCGATCTCCTACGCCCATGGTCCCCATGCTCCCCCGGCCCCCATGTTTACCTGGTGCCCCCCACACCGAGGCCACGGGTAAAGCCTGGGCATATGTGCTGTCTTGGGGGGAGGGGAGGGGGCGGGGAGGACCTCGGGCAGCAGGTGGGGGGTTATCCAGGGCTGCCCACCAAGTACTTCTGGAGGTCGCCCATTCCCCCCGCCCACGACCCCCGGCGCGGCCAATGAGATGTGAACACGAGAGACACGTGCGTCTGCCAGGCAGAGCTTCGAGAACCACAGCGTGACTCCACCGTCACTTTGCGGCAAAGCCGGAGATCAGTCTGCTCCCGCCGACAGGTGACGGGAACAAGGTGGAGCCCGTGTGGGTCTCAGTCGCTGCCGGTGGGGCCTGTCCTGGCTCACGGGGCCTGGGGCTGAGGGGACCAGGGGCCCCGGAGGTGGGACCAGCTTGGCCTTCGCCCCGGCTGCCCCTCACTGCACCCCCCGCCCCCGGGAGCTGGCCACACACAGGGACCTCCTCACTCAGGGCCCCTGCGGCCTGGAGGGTGAGTTGGTGCCACACAGGAGGCTGCATGGGACACCTCAGAGGACACCCCAGCCCAGAAGTCAGGAGCGCCTGCTGGCGAGGGGAGCCCCCTTAAACCCAGACTCCCAAGAGCTCACCAGCCCCCGCCCCCGCCGGCCGGCCACTCACTGTCGGATGAACTGGATGGCGTCTTCGTACTTCATCCCACTCTCGATGAGGGCCAGCGCCACGAGGACAGGAGCCCTGGGGGCGGACGGGGGGCCGGGTTGCCCAAGCGCCGTACCCCCCCCCGCCCCACCCCGACCAGCCGCCTGCTGAAGCTGGAGGGCTGCCCAGGCCCCCCCACCCCCCGCCCAGCGCCCAGCGCCCTCCAGCTCCAGCGCAGAGACAAAGTCGCACCCAGCAGGAGGGCGTGGGGTCAGCCGTGAGC